GTACTCTCTCCATAACAAATTTACTGTAGGAGGCACTGTCTGCTTGACAATAGTTAGACCTTGACGGCCAATAATATTACACCAATGGAAGATATATGTGGACTGGGCAGAGCTAACAATTCACTGAAGTCAGGCTTAGATGCTGCAAACTTATGTTGGATTGGTTTGAGATTATGTTTGAAGTTTATGATAGAGGAAGAGGAAACAATTATGACATGCATGGACTGCCATTTGATCAGATATCAGCATTAGTATGTTTGGACATAAATTATAATCAACTGATCAGAACTAGAGCATATCATTATGTCTGCTCATGAAGCCCGTTGTCAGTTGAAGTGGACCAACTGAAATTGTTTTATTGGCAAATTGCTCCATTTAGTGGGATGTTTAAAAGTTAGGAACCATTTATGACTTCACTGGATTCATTTCTGATTAAAGTTGGCATTTGTTTGATTGCACTTTAAATTATAATCAGACAAAATTGGGAATAGATGGCTTCACACTAAGGCAGTTTTCGGTGTGGGATTGTTTTATTGGTGATTAATTTTCTTAAATTGGCACAACATTTTAAATAATGGATCATTCAGAATAAAATTAAATGGACATAACACTGTGCATACATCTGAACATTAAAATCACAATGGCACAAAGAAGTATATTTCTTTTCTGTCTCTGTCTCCAAAATGATCTGATGGTGATGAATTTTCTGACCCTGAGACTCCAAGGAGTTTGCATCATTATATACACATAAAAACCACAATTACATTATTTCAATATACAAAGAAGTTGTGTAACTTATGAAAGGAATGACACTTTTATGATTATTGAATCCACTGATGACTTTACGAGTACCAGAATATATCTTAAATTTGTCTGCTCTGCATAGAAGAAGAGTCAGTCTCCGAAATTTGTTAGAAAATTTAAGGATGAGTGAAAAAGTGAACCGACAATCATTGATATTTGAATAATACATAACCTTCATAGTTGTATGGGTATATTTTTGCATATAAAATGATTTGAGCAGTTGATAATAGAATATGTTGAAAAGTTAAAAAATATAATAAAGTCTGCCTTTAAAGTAGGACAACATTAAGGAGTGGACAGGCATGGATTCCCAAAGGGCAGTAGAGAACAGGGAATGAGAGAATTAGTTGTAGAATAAGCTGTGGTGCACCAACGACTTTTTGAGTTAGGGACTTGATGGGGCCTTTAAAATAATCCTGACTGTTTCATATATAAAATATAAACACAATAAGTTAGAGCAACACCTTTACAAAAATGTGATTGTATATTTCTTAGAAATATTATTCAGCACCAGTAACAAAGAATCACAACTTTGGGTTCATGACTGTCCAAACAAATTGACTAGAGAGATTTTAGTTTTGACTCTTGCAAGTTCATTTCAGCTCCTTAGATATTGGGGTCAAGGGTCAACTGACTCTTCAGCTTGGAAATCTATTGAGAACTCTGTCGGATTAGATGGTACAGACCATGCACTGTATTCTGATAATTTTATGATTTAGAAACTCCAGCTCAGAATTTTAAAAAAAATATTGTTAAACGTACAGTTCAACTGTTTTGCTTACACAGACCTGCCAATTCTTAGATTTTGCCTTAAGTCTCACAAAAATTACCCTTAAAATACGGATTTACGGCATAAAAGCAAAAATTACAGAAAAGTGATCATTGCCGAAAAATCGGGGGAAAATTTGTTCATCCGTGTTTGATTTGAATCTGGGTGTTATATTAGAATTAGTGGAATTCATCAGGAAACCAGACTAATTTATAGCTGCACCTTAGACACTTCAAACTGCAACTATTTGCTCATGCGAAGCACCTGCATGATCCAATTATTGATTATAAAATTTGTTTAAAAATAGTGTCCAGCAAGAAATGCCTGTTTAAGACAAAAGGGAAAATAAGCCTCTTAAAAAGTACTAATAATCATCATTGAAGAATAAAGAAGAATATTTGAATTATTGTGAATAAAAGATGGAACAGACAAAATTCTGTTTTTTGGACATCACATGCCAATTTAAGTATGACTCGTGGTGGGAGATAAGATTTCATCATGTGCAATGGTAAAATATAAGAATTACGTCTCATTGAGAGACATCAACAAGCCATTGTGCTGCGTAGAGGTTGGAACTTGAGTTTGTGGAACTGTACTAGTGGTAAATAATGTATACACGTACTTTACAATCTCTACAGTTGAACATAATGTTTATCTTTACTGCATGTATAGAATACCAAACTTTTAATTACGTTTTCTAGCTTTACACTAGCAGTTTATTATTTTGTTTTTATACCTTATTGTAAACGGGTCAGACTTATGGGAAAAAATCAACTACCTTACTGAGAAGGACTCAACAGGGTTGGCAGGTCTGCTTACAGATTAAAAGTGACCTTGGTTATAAGTGAACATGTTGCATACAAAGGATATAACCACTGAAGCTGGTGGCAAGGGCCAGTTGAGCCAGTTTTCTACTTGGCTGGAATATATTGCCCTGCAGTAGCCCTGATACAAGTCAGTTTTTGTTCACCATTGTGTTCTAGCCTGATATGAGTCAGTCATTGTCCACTATTGGGTTCTGAGTTGGGTGGTGAGCACAGTGGACAAAATAATATTCTGATGCTATGGGAAAGCCAATTAAAGCTTCAACCATTGGTTTGAAAACTTGTTTCAAAAGAAACACATGTGCAATTGGTAAATATTTTGAAACTCTTTTGTCAGTATACAAGCCAAAACATTCCTGAGTTGTGATGAGCCACACAATAACCTTTTGCTTGAAATTTGTTCTGTGTAATCCATATTTCTAAAGAGGCCAAACTTTTCCCATGGAAGTGATGGGGAGTTGGACTTACTTTGATAAATCTTTGAAACAGTATTGTATGTTTCTAGGTTGACAGTACAGGGATCTCAAAAACGCTTAATTACACAAAATTTTGATGAGGGACTAAAGATGTACATATGTTGTCTGCTTCCAATATTTACAGTGTCGAATCAAGCAAAGAAAATGAAAAAATAATTTGCCTTTCATGTGAATTTAACAAGTGGTTTCATTAATATATTTATGTGTGCAAAGGAAGATAATTCTAAATTCAACATTATGGTAATTTACTGAATTATCCAGCAGTTACCGAATAGAATAAATTACGTCATTACATTGTCGGATGGAAATAAACTACCCCATAGTGTACGGAATATGGCGCTGTGTTAGTATGGAAAGTCTGTTAAGCATAAAAGGTGCAAGGGGAAACTAGTATTAGTGCCATTCTGGTCTGTCAGGTTAGAAATGATAAATCAATGATTTAATTGACTTAGTTCTGTGCACTTTTTATCACATTCAACTTTTTAATTACTGAAATTGGTAGGGGGATACAAACAAACGTTGATGTAGCATCGGACTATAGTCAGTTGTATGGCCATTTTGATTATATTACAGCATACAGTATCAAGACCAGATGTTAGCATAAGCTGATTATGATATAACAATGCGCTGTTAGGGTGGTTTGTCAAAATGAAATAAGATAAAGATAGTTTATATAAGAATTAATTCCAGTGCATTTTTATATCCACGTTTACAGCTTCCTGTCATGGTGCCTTTGAATTTCCCCACTCCAAACCCAAGACTGTATGTACCATTTTTATTAGCCAAAAATATCGCCAGAGTATATTTTGTCACCAATATGTAAAGCAAAATCGTAATTTGAAACATTGGCAAAGCCCAGCGCAATCACTGTTATTGATTTCATTTCCAGTTGTTTCCATATAAATATTGCACTCAAACTCGAAATCAAGAGGCTTAGACATAATGCCGTTTACAAATTTATGCAAGTATTTTGGGTTAAACAGAAAAATGATGATGTTTTTAATGAGATTCAGAACTGTGCTAAAGAAAGTATGTGATGTCTGGCTTAGTGGGGACTGCAACTTTTGCTGGTGGGACTGCACCTGGACTCCTAATTTTAAAATCCTAGCAAGACCTCTGCAGTAGCAGTACATGATATTTTGTAAATAAGCCTAAGTTGGGGAATAATCTTCACAGTCACAGGTCTTGTTAGGGTTACCAATGTTTTTGCATTTTTGCTTTATTGTTGATAATTTGAAGAAAAATGGCATTTTAAGTTTTTGATGGACAGCAAGTGCTAATTACATGCTAGTGGTATCCCATATACAACAACCTTGAACACATCCATTCCAGGAATACATTATTTTTACTTCATAAGGGTGTACAACATATTCATATAACTGGCAGACATGGCTGTTTTTAAAAGAATCTGCAAGTAAGAAGCAACTGATCAGTCATGACTGCCACTGTTGCTTTTTTGAAACATGGTTTGAAAGGTGTGAACATATAGATTTTCTTTGAATAGTGATAAAGGCAGTAAAAAACAATGTGCTTTTCATATAAGAAGTTTTTTCTCACACACAGTTTTTTTTTCTTTAATATCTCAGAACTTTATGGTGGTTTTTTTATTTTATTTTCTGTAATACTAGTGTTACTTACAGTGTCTGTTTGGATTGCACTATCTGAAATTTTTAATGACTTGTAATTCCACAGAAATAATGGCAAATAAAACTTGCTCTCAGTAATTTGTATTATTTTTTTTACTTACGATTCCATGTTACTCCTCGAGAATGTGGGTTTTGTCCTTGAAATTTTGTCACAGCCTGTATGAGCTGTGATAAACTATTTTAAATGTGATGTCCTGATGATATCATATGGTAATGATCGGGTCAATTTAATCTAAGTAGTAAGCTTTGATTTTACAAAATTGAAATACCTTGCAATCTGTAAAATTGTAGCTGCCTACTTTTACTGACTATAACATAGTTGTTACATAGACCAGTTTTGTACTTGTGAACTGAGCTGGCTACAAGATGTATGGTTGGTTGGGTATTTCATGGCACATTTCTGCAGTGTTGGCTATGTCATGCCATGGGTAAGGGAACTGTGTGCCTTTGTCAAGGACAATTGAAGGAAGCCAGTCCAGGCTGGCTTAGGCAGGTATTGAATTTGTGTTCTTTGGGTTAAAAGTCCAATGTTCTACCCACTAAGCTACCAGTTGTCACCTACAACAAAAAAACAAGAAGACTATTTGGGTCAATACATAATTGTGTCAGTTAAGTTTCTTAGTAAAAAAAATAAATTGTACCTTTTGTTTCCAGGTGTGGGTCAGGTCCCTCAGAATTCCATGGATGGACTCAGACTGCTCAGAACACTACAGCCGATTCTACAGGATGCCATACAAAATTCACGCATAACTCGCCTTTGGGAGCACAGATACAAATTGTCAGGGCCATTAACATGGATTGATTTCCACCAGCTCGCTGGACGAGGAGCAGATGAAAACAGTGAACCTCAGCCAATACCATATTTCCTAGTTGGGTTTGATAAAGATACAGTATCTGTATCACCTTATGCCTTGAGATACTGGGTACGTAACATATTAAGATTAGTGTATGTTTGGTTTTTTTTGGTATTATGTAGCCGAGACCAGATTCAGTATGTGTTTTTAACTAAAAAAGGAACCCATATTCACTCAAGTTTATCAAAGAAAATATTAGATGGTGACCTAATAACGGGATAAATTATTGTTGTAGCTTAGTTACCAAATAAATTTATTCTTTTTCTCAGTCTTTGCCCACATGCAAGCAAGAAAATGTGTATATATTACTTTCGGAACTGCAGCATCTCATCAACTTGAGTCCTGATTTCAAACCTGGTATAATTTTAAGGAAAATACTGCTTTCCTATTTTACACAAGTATCTGTTTACATATGTCTTTAGTGAGAATACTTATCCATTTCTAAGTATTTTCTGAATATCTTTTTAACCATTTTCTAAATTTTTTTTTCAGGATAAAAACTTTCTTGAGCCATACGGCAAGCAACGAGACATTGCCTATGTTATTGTTACTCCAGAAAATGACTTCATTGTGAACCAAGTCAAGACTTTCTTTAAAGAATTAAGCACTATGTATGAATTTTGTCGTCTCGGCCACCATTGTCCAATATCAGAAAAACTACGAGATGGCATCCTGCGGGTTGGAAAGAATATAAAACAGAAAATTGCAGAGCAGGAGATTGATGAATGGTTCAAGCGTATTGGTGGGTAATTGCAATTGTAAAAGAGTTTTGTTGATGGAAAATATGCTGAATGTATCTAATTATAACTTTTGTTTTTAGTATCAGAATTTTTTTATGGGATATCCTGATGTCTATCTGTTAGCACAAGTTAATGCTAGTCCTAAAAATTACTTCGAGGATTGCACACACCTTCATCCCAAGTTCTAGTTAGTCCTAAAGACTACCATTCAGATATCCAGTATGGGCAGCACAGTGGCCATCATGAAATCTTGTCACTTCTCTTTTGGAATGGTTTGTTTCATGGACGTCAAGTTTTCACTTAAGGCCTTATTATGATGTCTGGTTAGTCCCAAACAAAATGGTGCCATTATGACCTGCATCATGGCTGCCATCTTGAAAACTTGCTAATGCTACTATTCTTGAATAGAAAATGATTCTGATATGGGGTATTTTCACACATGTTGACTGGATTATGACATCTGATAATGACAGTCATCTTGCATTTATGGATGGTCATACCACGACAGCCAGAAATGGGGTTCTCACCAGTTTACTTCTTGTGGTATCTAGTGACATGGGTTTCTCTTTGAAAGACGTTGATAATGTTTGGTTGATCCCAAATAAAAATGGTGTTGATCATTGGTGGCAATTTTTTTATATAACTCCTTTTAAAGGGTAGGCCATTTAGATGAGGAAATCACTTGAACACTTCTGACTACATATAGTTAATCCTGAAACAAAATGGTGCCAATGCCCCCCCCCCTTTGTAAAAATCTTGTATTGGTTACTTCTCCAAAATCGACACCCATACCAATTTATTGTGTTCAAGAATAAATGTTTTTTATTCTTGCAATGTACTAGCATAATTATTACTATATTGCAATGATTCCAATCTAATTCTGAAATGGCTCTCTTGAAGACCATCAATAAACTTTGTATATAGCTATTTCTGGAAAGTTAGAAATGGTCTTGTGTTACATCTCTGGAAACTCTTTACAGCTAATGGAATGCTATTCCCTTTCAAGGACTCTTATTTTGTGTGGAATGCAAAATAATTCTTGCTCATCTGTTGATGATTTCAGTATATCCAGTGGTCTTTATGTAATTGTGTCATGAGTACTGCAGACATTAGTGTAATTAGGTCAGTGTGACTTGTATTTCATAGTTCATTAAGTTGTGTTGAACTGTTTCATTAGGTTAGGGTTTGCATTTAGATATTTGATTAAAGGCTTCTAGAGTCACATTACTCTTTAAATGTGTGGAGAATAGTGATAATTAGGTCAGTGACCTATATTTCATAGGCCATTGATGCACGTTTATGTTTGCATTTTGCATATTTTTTCTTGCGATATTGCTTGTTGAGATCAATGACTTGATATGTAATTGCATAATGATGATGACTATAGCAGTCATCGAGTCCTAAATGACTGACCTATATTTTGGCTTGGATTTGTGTGTACCTTTCCAAAGAGTTCAGTTACTTCAAGTTGGGGTTTGTGTTTGGTCATTTTGATAGATGGTGTTACTAGTCGGGTTAAATGAGATGGTATTTAGATGTTTTAGCCTGGTTAATAGAAACCAAAAATTCTATAAATATTGACATGCCATGAATAAAAAATGAATCTATAGTATTCATGGAATGCATTTGTGCCATACCACCATTGGCAATTTTCTTGTCTTCATTTTAATTTTATACAAATAATAAATGGCATTTGGATTTAATGTCTAGTTGTACATATGGTACCAATAATGATATTCTGATTCTTGGAAAATTGTGCAGATCATGGAAGTAATAATCTCAGAGGTATATAGGTATATTTATAATGAGCTAAGCAAGCGTTAGGTCTCTTTGGTGCTATTAAATTCTGAACCCTACTGCCACCTCACATTTTTTTGGATGATATTTCTTTTACAAAAGACTGCACCCTCAGCCTACTGGTTAGAGCATCTGTCTTGGATGTAGGAGATTGCAGGTTTGAACCCAGAGTCATACCAAAGACTATATAAAAATGGTACTAACAACTGCCTCTCTGGTCTTCTGCATTAGGAGGTTAGTGTTAGGATAATGCGACTGGGTGGGACATCATGTTATATATCTGCTACATGATGCCCCAGTAGAGACATCTCTATAAACTGCCACACTGCAGATATTGTAGCAGGGTGACTGAAAAATTGGTAAAACTATGTTAGAAATTATAAACACACACACAAACACACACAGAGACTTTACAATAATACCCTGCATAGTTTGTGTATTTTGCATACACTTAAATTTTGAGGTTACTTGTGTATTTATTAGGTGTTTTGTCATTCTAGGTGATAGTCCAGTAGCAGTCCGACTTAGATTATATGCACAAGCTTGTCAGAATCTGCTAGGTAAGTGTATACATGTCTTTCTGGTGTTTGTGTACTTGTTCACTGCAATTGGGTGGTTCTATTACATTCATGTAAAATGTAAAGGACTAAATGAAAACAAAGTCCTGCTTCCTTCTCATTCAAGTATGCAAAGCAATGCATTTCAGTACATTTGTCTCACTAAACAATGTTAGCAGATGTGTGTTTGTAAAAAGACAAATGTATGTAATCTCTATTTTATAAAATTTTTACTTTATGAGAATAGTAAATAAGTAGGGCAGCTTGGAATAATTCAGAACTTAAAACAATATAAATCAGTCTTATATATATATATATATATATATATATATATATATATATATATATATATATAGACTGATTTATATTGTTTTATTTCATGTTTGCAGGACCCTTTCTTGCCCATAATTCTCCGGACAAGTCCTGGTACGAGTCCAATTCTAGTCAAAGGTCAGCATCGAGCCAGAAGCCTCCAGAGGTAGCTGTCGACAGTAGCCTTAACAACTCCACTGGGGGAGGAGATGAAAACAAAGGTGGGTTGGAGGCACAATAACATGTACCATGTAACTGTGACAAGAATAATAGTTTTTAAAATTGACATCTTTCTAAACTGAATTATTTGTTGCCAATAAATTGGCAGTACATAGATTTTGTTGGGGCTATGCCATAAGTAAAGGTACAGAGAAATTCATGGCACATTTTTAAATACACCTCGGCTTCCTTGAGTTGCAGACAGAATACCATTAACTTGTACTAAAGGCATGCAATCCAACAGACATCCACATATATGCAGTAGCTTTGTCTTTCCAAACCCTCCATACTTTTCATAATGGAATAGTTGTTAATTTCCATTCTGTTGACATTATTGCTTTGGCAGTCTTATTCAAATGGAAAATTGTCAAAAAAATTAAAATTTAATTATCACAGCTTTGTTAGCATGTTGCTTCTGATGAGGTAGCCATAGGGAAACAGTAGTAAATGAAAAAATTATGTAAGCTGTGAAAGAAAAATCTTGAAAAAATATTTTAAAAAAAGAAAAGGAATGATCTCCATTTTCATTATTTATGGCTTCAGATGGCCAGCAGAGTGGCGAGGGCCAGCGAGATTCCTCCATTCATGATGTGGACACTGATATTAGCTCAGAGTGCCCAGCAGTTGTTGTCTACATGATAGAACCATTTACATATGGTCAGGAATGGGATGACCTTAATCGGCTGGCTATGATTGGAATGATGCGGTGCTATCAACAGATGGTGCAGACACTTCCCGAAAATCTACAAAACAATGTTTTTCTTCAGGTACAATTGATATCTTAGAATATAACTTGAAAGCTATCTCAATATTACTACATTGTGCAGCATATATTTTGCTATAATATTAGACCATGCTAATAATGCCTTCATGAAAATTTCCCATTATTGCCAGATCTATTTTGATTACAAAACAGTAGATAATGGTCAGAGCTGTGTTAGATTTTTTTCCTTTCTCGCCAGAGATTCTTAATGATACAAAAGGTGTATTGACCTTCAGAGTGACTTTTGAGATATGCATTCTTAGTTCAGTTACCTGTTGTCTTGTAAATTAGAGTTTTCTTCCATATATATTAAAACA